AGGTTTCTCTGTGCGTGCAGCACAGGTGTAGAAAGCAGGGAGGTAGTCTTCTCGAACACTTTCATTGTAATTCAGGGCTCGGGGAGTTGCTTTGGAAGGGGAAACTAGGCTCTTACATCAGCAGTAATCTTAGAGGAGAAATTATTTTAAAAACAAAAAACCCCACGGGTTCTAAACAACCCATAGGTTGTTTATGTTTGAGGTGGATATGCTGGGGGGTCTGTCTAGTCTTTCAAAACCTGTGGTTGGGGGCGGAGGTTAGGCACAAGTCTCACCATAAAATAATCTCGTTATTTTCTGCGGAAGAGGAAAGCTCCTGCTTCACCCTGTGCAGTGGTTTCCTCCTGTGGCAAACCACCACTGCTTGCTCTGACTTGGTACGTGACCTCAAAGCCAAAGAGCTCCTCTCTTGAACTTACTCTGCAGTTTCCTGCAGGGCAGCAGTGACTGACTGACACATCAGCGAGGCAAAGTAAAGGTACCTGGATCACTTGGGTTTCAGGTCTGATGGGAGAGGGAGCAGTTTTTTCATGTGCATTTTAAGATTTACTGTTCTTGACTTGCACATTTTAAAGGTTTTCCAATTTCTTTTTTTCTGTGCCCTTTGGCAACCAGATGACTCAAGTCAGCTCAGAGATAAAAGTGTGGCCAGTTTTTCTCTGAGTTAAAATTATTTTTTCCACAGTTAAAGGAACCAAAAGTGCCATTTCAACAGCAGAAGGGCAAAAGAGAAATTTTCTGCTTATTACAGAAAACTGTATAGAACTAAATTGTTTTACTTCAGTGGCCCCATTGCAGGTAAACTTGTTTCTTACAATCTTATTTAGAGTAAGTGGATTTTACTATGAGTATTATTTCAAATACAGTCACATAAAAATCAGTTGCACTCCAGGAAAACAATATAAATTCCTGATGGAAAGTAGTGTAGATGCAGCCAGAACATGTGAGTTTGGGTTGGTTTTTTTGGTGTTCTTTTATTTTGGAATTGTCAGTTGGTCTAAAGTGAAGTAATTTTCCTTTCTGAATTCTTTTTCTCCTTCAATTAAAAAAACGCCCATGAAGACTGACAAAACCAGTGTTAAGCTGCAGGGGTCAGTGCTCACTAATACTGTGATCCAGTGAGTCAGAGGCTTTGTCTAGTTTTGAAAAGTTTAAGGCACTGAACTGCAAATGAGGTGACAACATCATGCTTATGCCTCACAATGTAAATTAAAGTAATTGCCACTAACATGGGAAAAATAGTGATTGGGGTTGATGGCTATTTGGTGCTCTGAGGCACTCAACGGGGTGAGGACTCGGTGAGCTCTCTGTGAGTCAGAAGCGTGTATTTTTGGCGAGAAGAGCTAGAGAAGTTGGAAGAACAGGAGGAACAGGAACTAGTGCTATACACACAATCCCCCACAGCAGGGATTTAGTGAGGGAAATGAGTGAGAAGGAACTCGAGTAACAGATTTTGGACAGCACACCCACCCCCCTACCCCACACCTTATTTAAATGCTTAAAGGCAACTTGTCTTCTAGGAGACTTAGGAATTGAACCAACTGTTCCCTACAGTGGAAAATAGTTTCCTCCCACCTTCCCCAAGATGCCAAAGATGCATTCAGAGCTAAATTCCAGGTACACAGATGTGCTTGCACCAGTCTCTCCTGAGGCTAAGTTGCCAGGTGCTGCTGATGTGCAGCTGTGGTTTGGCAAGAGAACAGGGCTGTCACTGTTAGATGTTGTGCACCTATTGCCTTTAACCAATGCTGGTAACTGGCTACACATCTGCAAGGGGCGGGGGCAAAGGCCAGTTTAGCAAAGAACCTGTGCCCAAGGCTCCCTGCTGCTGATTTGGTGCAGCACTATAAAGCTTGTACTTCTAAAAGGAAAACTAAATGCTTCGTCACAAGTTGCAATTGCAAATCTTAGGTCTCCTTCTAGTGGACTGCAGTGGACCAGAAATTAACTGGAGCAGCAGTTTGTTTTATGGCTTACACTAATTGTTAGCAGCCACTGGTGATATTCTGTATAATACTGGGGATGCAAATGTAAGAAAAAAGTGTCATTGCAATGATGATTTGTCTGTGCAGCAAACTTGTGCTGAGTGCTGTAAATACATTCATGTTTACTGCTTTAAAAAGAAAATTGCACATTTTATCTTTCAATGGGATTGCCTCCCCTCTTCTTCCCTTTCCAAAAAGAAAAATCAAAGCTCTTTTAGACTGATAGCTTCAGGTTGGGGGGAGCTTTGCCATATTATAAATATATATAAATATATGTATAAATATACTTTTTTAAGCATGGGAGAGGACAAAAAGAAATACTACATTATAGAGTACCCAATATAGATCATTATACAATGGAATATGCACAATTCAATAAAGATGTAGTTAAATTTAATAATGTTTTAATGCTCTGTCTTGACATTTTCCTTTTTCATGAGTTCAGAACCCACATTGTGTTCTCAGGGCATCAGTGGTTCCCTCTGTAGGGATCAGATACCATCTGATGACCTACAGGTTACCATTTATGTGCTCACTCTCAATAAATTGCTTTTTATTGTTCCTTTGCACAGTTCTTTCCAGGGGGTCAGAGCAGGCTGTACCAGTAACATGGTGCACACCAGTTACAGGTCTAAAGAGGACCCCAGTGTGAAGGCTCACCTTTTCCATCTGCCTCCTTCCTCAGGTGTGCGGAGTCCCATATAGTTCTGCTCACACAAGAACAGCTGATGGCTGGTAAGTGTTGCTGCAGCCCCTCTCTGGGGCCCACTGTAGGGAATTCAGCTCTGTTTGCCTCCTCCTGGGGTACACTTGCAGGCTAGCCCTGCATCAGTCATCAGCTTTTACAGCCGAGATTTGAGGCGTTACATTAGTGGTGGTTACAGGAAAGGAGCAGTCATACTGAAGTGGAGAGGAGCTGCTGAAGGCAGCAGGCTGGATGCCAGCGATCATACCTTTGCTGTGGGTAGTGCTGTGCTCAGAGCTCCTCTGGGACAGGGATCCTGCATACACAAGCAACTCTCCCTGTCCTCACTGTTTTGAAAAGTCTGTAACCAAAGACAAGGAACGTGACGCAGCAGTGGCACGCTCACCGAACACATGGTGTGTGCTTTGTTCTTTTTATTTAGGGCTTGTAACAAGAGGGTTTAGTACACAGCAACAGTTAATTCCAAGTACAATTAAAAAAATTTAAAAATTGGGTTTTGCACTCACGGGAAGGTGGTTCAAATGGCACACACAATAAAATGTTACTGGCGGCATACAGCTCCCCAGAGTCCTGCGGGCTGGGTCAGTTACAGTGGGCTCTGCACTCATCCACTGCATTCAGCAGTGCCAAAAGCAAAAGCACTGTGTGCTTCTCCTCTGACTGCAAACCAAAGGTGGGGGGTGGGTGGGGGTATCTGCTTTCAGAAAAAAGTGCATGGACAAAATCCATGTTAGACACTGACATTTCCAGAGAATTCATAGAAATTACTTGTCCATGCAAGTTGCAAAAGACGCTTTTTCAAATGTGAAAAGAAGCACTTGTTCTTTACAAAAAAATCTCAGACATGTCAGCACTTTACCAAGGCGCTGTAATGGAAATGAATTTGTACACAGCTCTTCCTCATTGGTCAATAGTGGTAGGATTCTTCTGACGTTTTAAGAGAAACAGGAATAAATGTACTGCACGCATTTCAGCGGAGTCACCATGTCGGTGTTCAGCAGGATGCTGGGTGTAGGCTTATTACCTCTGGACAACAGGCTGCTGCTGACTTCACTGTTTTGTAATAAGCAAAGGTGCTACTAAAACTACTATGTCTAGAGTACCAAAGAAAAAACACTTCCTGCATGGGCAGGAGATTGCACAAAATACATGGGTGGGTTTGTTTTGGTTTTTTGTTTTGGTTTTTTTTTTTTTTTTGAACAAAAGCAGCAGAACAGCATGGTCTGTGAATTATTCTTTGTAACAGCAGTTAGCAAACCTTGGCCACTTCAAGCTTTCAGCAACCCTCCCATGGACATGATGAGGGGGTCCTACTATTCTTGCAGTTTCAAAATCAAAAAGTAGATCAATAGGACTGTTACTACACACTGACTTTAGCTACTGGGGGGGGGGGGGAAAAAAAAAACAAAAAAAAAAAACAAC